ACTTCCAGGGATGGTGATTCCACCACTGCCCTGGGCAGCCCATTCCAAAGCCTGACAACCCTTTCCATGAAGACATTTTTCCTAATATCCAAACTTAACCTCCCCTGGCACAACCTGAGGCTGTTTCCTCTTACCCTGTCACTCACCTGAGAGAAGACCTGACCTCCACCTCCCTACAACCTCCTGCAGGGAGCAAGAAGAGGCCTGGAGAATTGCAGCCCTGCACTAACACACCATGGAGGATCTCACAGCAACCTGATGGTTTCTTTCACCTCACTCGAGCTCCTTCCCTCTAACCCTCTGTGTGTCCCAAGAACTGTGAGCAGAAATGAAACAAACACACAAACAGTGACTTATTCTCCCCAAACGTGAAGCAGCTCCTGGCAGGAGGGGAGGAGAACAGAAAGCCAGGCTGACATTCCAGGCTCAGCAAGCAGGAGCACTGCAGCACATACTGCTGGCTTTGTGACGTGCCACAAAGGCAGCCTGTTCCAGCTGCCCCGTCACACATTGTCCCACACAGCCTCTGCTCCCAGTTTCAATGGCTGCATTAAATGGAAAAGTCCCCTGGGTGGTGGCACAAGGGGCTGGATTCTCCCAGCTCCACTTCCCCAGCGTGGCTAGATCACAGCAGGGATCCCGGGGAGGTCTCCAAACCTTCCCTTGCTCCAAGCTAATCCAGGAGGTTTCCCCTACATGGAGTCTCTAATCACAAGAGATTTACTTGGGCACAGCAAATTTCCACCACACAACTCAACATTTTACAGGCCCTTTCCACACTGGCTGTATTATTCAGGCAATGTGCTAAAAAAAGGTGAAATATAAATAAATAGATGCAGTGTTCCAGTGCTGTCCAGGAAGAGCTGACCCCTCATTCAGGGAGATCAATGCCTGCTGCATTTATACTCTCTAAAGCCAAAAATAACACTGGAACCACCAGGAGAAACAGCCAATTAAGCTGTTTTTCTCCCAAGCATATTAAAAATTACTCTCAATTTACTACCTTACTAAACTACAGCTGAAATTATTACAGTAGGCTGGCTGTGGGCTGGCAGGCTGGCTCTGTGCAACTTCACATACACGACGGTAAAAGAAGAATGAGAAAGGGCCATTAATATAAATTTATGTGTTTATATCTATATATATATATGAAGGAAATAAATACTGAAAAAAACTCCATCCTTCACCAACAAGCATGGGCTGGGACACGCTGAAGAGTGACAGAAAATCAATAGTTTTTGGATGTATTTCTCTGCCTCTCTCCTCCCAGGAGGACACCCCAGCTGGGTTCAGGACTGGTTGAGGCACAGGTGGCACATCTTGGCAGGCCAGGTGAGGCTTTGGGGAGCTTTTGGTGTTCTCTTGACAAATCTGTGCAATGTGCTGCACAAATCAGCTGCTTTGGGAGAGAACTTGGTCCTTTGGCTTGCCTGTGCAGAACAGAAGCCACAGTGGGGCACAGACAGAGCTGGGAGTTTTTTGAGGTTAAAGGCAGGAAGGAAGAACTGGGGAAGGCAGCAGAGAGGAAAGAAGAAAAGCACAGTGGTGGAAATAAATGGATAAACCTCAAAACTGGGGAAAAGTGCTCTGGATGGTGCAGGGAGCTGTGATTCAGCACTGAGGAAAACATCCAAGAGTTCTCAGCTAAAGTGAGGCCCAAGTTTCCCAGGCTGCCCACAGGGCAGGGCTTTAATCACCCCTGTGGCAGCCCTGACTCACCTCAGGGCAGCACAAAAGCCACAGATGTGAGTCAGGGCAGATAGACAAAACCACAGACTTGTCAGCCCCAGGAACTGCAGCCCTGCTGTTAACACTTTCATCACATCATAGTCCAGTTCTACTTTTTGGAAGGCACTAATAAAATAAGTATCATTTATGCAAAGCAGGGGAGATGGAAAGCCAGGCTCTGCCCTTACAGAACCTGTTTGATGACTGATTTATATTTATCTAAATAAGACCAGTTCTCCATTTGGATATCATTTCTTAACCAATGCAGTGGGAGAGAGAGGGTTTAACACCCAGAATGATTATTTTCCTCATTTAGAAGATGCAGTAGACACCAGCAGCCATTTAGTTTCACGAAATTGCTGCAGGATACAAAGATGCATCCCATACCCTGGCTGACAGCTTTAGCACAAAGCCACACAACCCTGCCAGGGCTCCTTGTTAACAATGTATTGTTCTTGTGACTGGAATGCTATCAGGTTTATTCATAGCTTTTCTGATAGAGTTTTTAGATTAGACACACAAATCTCTGCTTTTTAGAAAAAAAAATAAATAAAAGGCTATGGCTTATTATTACATGGAGCATCAAAATTCCTGATTTCTCTTCTATGGCTAAATATAAAGAGAACTGCAGCGAAAGGACAGGACCTCAGAAACCTAAGGTTCTTTCAATTTTCTACTAAGAGCACCCAAGAGAAGAAAAAATGACCAAAAATTGGAAATAGTGAATATAGTAAAGATGGTCAAAAGCATGAAGCATCTCTGTAAGGACCATTGACTCAATTAGGACATTTTAGTCTGGAAAAGAGGCCTCTGACAGGGGACACAGCAGGGATTTACAGAATTTTAATGCAAGTGCAAATGCCAATTCCCCAAACGTGAGTTTATTGCAGTACACGAGCTGGCAGTAGGTGCAGTTACCAAAAGGAAGTGGCTCACCACACAAAGTTAAAATCTGAAATGCCTGGACAGAGGCTGAAAGCACAAGAGCTGAATAAACTGATGGGAGATGAAGGACATTCCTGCTGGAGACAGGACAGACCCAGCCTCTCACAGCTCAGGTGTTTGCTACATCCTGAGTTCTTAAGAAGCAGAAAAAAATCTCCAGCATCTTCTGGGGGGAACTGAGCAGCAAGAAGCAGGAATTCCTCCACCTGCAGGAGGTGCAGGCAGCAGAAACCCTCCCTGCCATAGCCCAGTGCTCTCCCAGCCCTTCTCCACTGAGCAAAGACCCGTGTGAAGCACAGGAAGCATCAGCCCCACGCTGCTGTGGTTCACGTGGATGGTGCCACATCCTCACAGGAAGGGACCTGCTACAAAACTCCTGCAGAACTTGGCTTTGCTGCCAAGCCAGGAAGCCTCAGGAAGTGTTTGAAGATGAGTCTCCAGGAAGTATTTTTAGATTCCGGGCCCAACCCAGTTGTTTAGATATTTAGTGTCATGGAGAGAGTTTTGCATGAGAATGACTTGCTAAGGAGTCCCTTGAAACAGGTTATTTTGCCATTTTGTTCCATGGCAATCACAGACTGTTTCCAGCATCTCCTCTCTTCCAGCTCCCTGCCAAGAACAGCCCTTCCCTCTGCTATCTCCTACTGACCTAAATCCATACTCCTGGCTTTAATCACAATCTTCCACCCTAAAAAGGACTCCAAAGCTGAAATCCTTGTCTCCTACATTCACTCCCCTAGCCACCAGGCCCACTAACCCAGAAGGGCTTCTGAAGGTCAGTGCTGAAGCTGCTGCACACCACAGCAGTGTAATAAACGTTACACAGGCCAAATGATGTCCTGGGGGAAAGCTGGGCAGCCCGTGGCCTTGTGCAGACTTGCACAGCTGCCAGCCTGAGACTTCCTCCTCCTTAAGATATGCAAAGAGAAGGAGAATTCAATGGTATTGACCGATTCCAGCTCCTCAAGTCAGCAGATCTGGCTCAGAGCACACACTGGGATTAGAGCTGTCGATGAGGACCTTGGCACGCTTGGTCAATACCAGCATTGTTCATCCTTCACCTGCCCCACTGCTACTCCCAGCTTTGTTATTCACTGTGGGATTTGTCACAGGAGCTGGGTTCCAGCTGAGGGGAGTCCCTGCTGTGTTTGGCAGGGCACAAAGATTTCCTGGGTCCAGAAGTACAGCAAGAAATGTAATGCACAGGAGGAGACACCTGAGCCCAGGACATCCTGCAGGTACTGGCTGGATATGGGAGAAATGAGGAAGCCACAAATAAGTTTGCCTCTCTTTCCCTTCTTTCCCAGCAGCACAGGAATTCTCTGCCCTGCTCCCTGGATACATCCACACCAACCTGATGACACAACCCAGTCTTTAAATGCATTATTTCATCCCTGACTTCTGTTAACAAACACTTTCAGTTTCAAGATCCATCATCCCACATTATCCTTAGGGAATCACCTGCTAGGACTGTCACAATAAACTCAAGTGCTGCAGCTCCCCCACTCACCTGAATTTTACAGCCTGTACTAGAGAATCCTCCTGGCTTTCAGGCAATTCCCTATTTCAGTCTGGCCACACCACTGCACCACATGGGCCAAGACATTCCAATTACTCAGAATTTACTAGCTCGAGTATTTACTCCCTCACAGTTGCGAGTTCTAAGACGTTTGCAGACACCTCATAAAGCACAGGCTCATTATTACAGCCCATTAACACGCATGCAAGACATTTTAATGTGTAAAAATTCCCCATGAAATAAAGATTTTCTCCTCCACTTTCAGGGCAAACCTGCCATCCTTACCATGAAGTGGATAATGTTTTCCAGTGGTTTGTTCCTTCTCTTTTCCACCCACCAGTCAAGCCAAGCCTCATTTGGCTGATTTCATAGCACTCATTTATGAGCAACCCTGGCATGTGCCGTGGCAGGTCCCTTATCCACCCTCCTCACTCAGTTCCAACACCTCCAACGAGGCTGGAATAGCTCTGGGGAGCATTTCCACTCCTGAAGCAGCCCAGGAAGCCTCAGGTGACACCTTTAGACCTCCAGTGTTGATTCCCCACAGCCCTGAGCAGGTACCAGATGGAACTGCAGCAGTTCTCTGCTCTGCCACTACTGGAAGTGGGACGAGGACACAATTTAGCACTTCAGATGAAAGGAGCTGGAGCACACTTCTCCCAAAACAAGAGTTAAGCCAAAGAAGCTTGTACTTTTAGGAAAACATTGTCCAAGCATGCAGACTTAATGCTGTGCCCCAATGGAGGCAATTTGAGGCTGACATCAGGCACTACAGAAAGTTTTATTCCTGAAATATGAAGGTACTCACTGTACACGGTGAGCAGCTGGCAGACTGGAATCTGTCCCTCTTCTGCAGCCAGCTCTCTACTCATCTGTCTGGAGCCTGTTAGAGAGGGGAAAAGAGCTGTAAATGTAGATAAAGTGACCAAAAAAAATTTAAATCAAGAAGTAGGCCAGGTAATCAATGCAAAACAGACACGCTCACCTCCCCAGCTCTGAGGTCAAGAACTCAAAGCACCTGCAAAGCTCTCAGCAAGGTCTCTCAAGCAAAATGCTGTGATGCTTGAAAACAACTGCAGCACCAGCTGCCTTTGGAGGCTGTCGAGGTCAGACCTGAGCCAGCCCAGGAGAAAAGCAAGGTATTTATACATGAGAGCAGCAGCAAGAGCTTCCCAAAGCCAGTGACTCCAGAGGCAGTGAATCACAGCTCTCTGTGACACGTCCTGGTCCCCAAAGCACCATTACACAGGCAGGGCAACAAATGTTTATGTTGTGCTCAAGGGCTGCATGGGCTCTGATCTGGAGTGCACCAAAGAAGTTCCCTTTAATGCATTTGTTGTTTCAACACACTTTATCCCCTTAATGAGGCGCCACTGAAGTTCTGCTTAAACCCATTTTGATTAAGGAAAAGATTATCCATAGAATTGCCAGCCGTACATGTTAGTGTACATCACACACAGACCAACTGTGCTTCAGGGAGACATTAAATCCCCGTTCAATTAATAGAGACACCTTTTAAAATGAGCATTAAATAATTCCCCACAATGTAGCACAACAACTGGCTACTCCAGTAAATTGGAATAGAAATAACTTCCCATCTCTCCACCAACAAAAATCCCAATCTAAGCTTGCCCTTAAAACAAGAGGTCAGTACAGAGGGATGGGGGGCAGGAATGTTACTACCTCAGTGCTATTGTGTGCTTATATTAAAAGCTCTTCATCAAAAAATTAAATGAAATGGATGCCTTTCATGTTTATCAATAACAGAGCTAATGGTTTTTATGTAAATGCCATTACTTCCAGCCAGATCTGCAAGAGACTGGAGCCACACAGCCCCATCTCCCCTCGAAAGAGACTCCCTTCAGGCAGCCAATCTAAATGCAAATTACAATCAAATGCAAACCCAAGAGTTTTCTGGATGATACTGAACACGTAAACCTAGGGACAAAGCAGAGATATTTAAGAGCAGGCCTCCTCTTCTGGAAAGACCTCCTGATCTCACATTGCTTTTCTATCATGAACATACATAAAAATTAAAGTATCATTTGGTTCTCATTTATAGTCATATTATTTACCAGCTTCTTCCCTTCTATTGCCTTCAGTGTTAAAAAAAATAGGAGGGGAGTGTTCTTCTGTAGAGAGAATCACCTTTCAGAGATGTTCCCCCCACAACATTCCATCACCAAGGATATTAAATCAGAGCCGTAATAAAGCCCCAGTTGGATTTGCCAAGAACAAACTGCAGCTCCACATTTTCAGGAGGAAATTTCTTCTCGGAATGGAGCTGTTTTGCAAATCAAGGAAGAAGGTGCTACTACAGGATGGCTATTAAGAGGCAGAGACACAAAACTCTTGTCAGCACAAGGAGCACCATATTCCTGTAGCATAAAAGCTTTTTGAAGACTGCTTAAATCTGACCCCTACCTGCAGCACGGATCCAGCCAGGATTTTGGCAGCACTGATTAAAACAAGGTTCTAATGGCAAACCTGAAAAGAACCAACCTTAGCAACCGTGCTGCTCAGCAAGGAGAATGCACAGAGGAGAGGCTGAGATTAAAACAAAGGGCAAAAAGCTGACAACCCAACCATGGCAGAGTCTGCACGTGAGTCTCGGCGGGGACTTGCTCTAACCACCACAGGCAGCTCCACACCAAACTTCCATTCCCAAGAGCAGCACAAGTCCTTGGAGGGATGCTGCTAATTAACAACGGGGCCGAGTGCACGCTCGTTACACGGGTGAGGAGCTGAGCACTTTGTGTGTGTGCAGGAATACTCACAGAGCAGAACCTCGCTAATTAACATTAATAACTGCGAGACCGCTGCTGCAAACAGCTGGATTTTGGGAATCAGCCAGCAAGAAGCCGTGCAAAGTGGGGAAGCAGAGGGACAACACAGCCCAGCGGGCGCCTGGTTCACTTATTGGGGTATCTATAATTAAATAATTTATCATTGTGCTCCTGTGACTACGAGTGAATGTGCAGCCTGTCAACAAAGCACCTCCTGTTACGCAAAGCCTTGCTAAATCTGAAAGTTTGACTGCCTGTGGAAAGAGGTCATTAAATTAAAAACCACAGCCCTGACTACCTTCTCTCAGAAACTTTTATCAGCATTTCAGAAAACTCACTAACATCTTCTTCATGTTCTGTCTCACCAATTTATTGTTCTATACACAAAAGCTCTGGCTTTCAGTCCTGGATCACAGCTTGGAGTTACTAAGGCTCCCTTCTCCTCCGTCCCTTCCTCCATAAACCTGGTGAGGCAAGTTCTGGGTCCTCTCTAGCAAAAGGAGAGACCCCAGCTTGGGCTTGTCACCATGCAGGACCAACCCATGAGCAACGAGAAGAGGATGAGGCTGTTCCAAACCAAGCAGATCTCCTTTTTTTCCCCCCACTCCGGACCTGCTGTGCGAGGCTGGGCGCTGTCACTGCCAGAACCACGGAGGATTTCACGCCCAGCCACAACCATGTGTGAGCAGAGTCTGATTTCACAGCCCTGCTCTGACTTCAGCTGTCAAACCACAGCCACAGGAGCTGTTTAAGAAGCACGCCTGCAGAGCTGAGCTGTTCCTGCAGCAAAGCCATTTCCTCCCAAAGCCCCCAAAATCAGAGACAGCCACACACCCCCAGCCTCCACCCAAATGCTGCTGCTCGTGGCCTTGACCACTGGCTTAGCCAGCAAGTTTGGTGCCACCAAAATGAAGATTTTTGGTGGCAAAAAACTTCCAACCGTCACTTGAATTTTGAGATTTTGCAAAGGCAAGGAATATTTCCCCTCCTGAGAGCTCCTGTTCTTTGCTGTACAATTCACAACTACACTAAACTTACTCAGCACTGTAATTTTTATTTCTCCTTTCTGTCATCACACAGCCTCATATGCCTCACTTGCTGAAACCCAGGGTTTTCCCTTTGCAAAGGTTCAGGTTTATGCACAGCAAAACGGTCTCTTAAACAGTCTTTTCTTATTTCCTTTTGTCAGAGGCTTCATGCTATGATGAATGTGTAGAAATGCAAAGCAGAAGTCCATACAAAAAGAAGCCAGTGTGTGAGGTGGTTTTGTCTTATAAAAAAAAGAGAGCCAGGATTGACTTACGCCTCATTAAAGAGCTCCAGTCTGCATTTTTATTAGATGTATTTAGACACCAACGGATTTTTAAAAAATAATAAATTAAAAGCAGTTGTATTCTTAACATACGGCCCCGGATCAGTCATGTGGATATAAACCAAAATGGGCACAGCAGATTCTCCAAACACAGGCATGGAAATCATTTTAATGGTGCACATGACCTATAAAATGTCAAGCTACACAATGGTGTGGCAGAATTCAGCCACTGCAGGGCTGTGTCTTGTCCCCACACACCCCTGTGCACATCACAGCTGCTCCAGGAGACAGGAACAGGAGGAGAGTAATTCCTGCTAATGAACACACTCAGGCAAATCATGCAGCATTCATTTTTTGGTGGGGAAACTGAGGCATGGAAGGGGGATTTCTGCTATAATTCATTTCCAATCACAAATAAAACCCAGATAATATCCCACCATCAGCTTTCTTCACTACCAAGTGTCTTTGGCAGCCCTGCTAGCCCGGTGTCATCCCCTCCTCACACCCTGACAAAACACACAGCTCCAAGAGAAAACTTATTTCCAAACCAAGAGCCAGTGGAGCTAATTCTGGCCTGCAGAAAGCACTAATTACTAATGTAAATTATATCTCCCCAGCTTGATGGCAATGATAAACGATGGCCAATCATGTGGGCAGAGACTGGCACTGAACAAAACAACGAGGCACACCCAGAGCAAGGATGTCTTGCAACCACTAAACACACATTTTGGTGCTCTACGTGGGCAGCAACTGCTGTCCAGAATATTTTAACAGCACAAACTGCACTGGGGAGGGAAAAAAACCACCACCACAACATAAAAAACCTGAGTACATTCCTCCTCTTAGTCGGAGCCAGAACTTAAGAAACAAGTAATATAATTACTTCCACACCAGAAGGAAAATAAACCCAAGAACACACAGAGGGAAAGAAACAAGCCTCCAAAGCAGATCTGCAAAATAGTTCAGGGCTTCTGTGCTGGGTAATAATTTCCCAGCACAAATCAGGAGAGTAAAAACTACAGGGAAGCCGATTTTGGGATAATGAACCCACAGCACCCCCTCCTCTGCCCTCTTCCCCACAGAGCCTGCAGAGTGGGTGCCCAAAATCCTGCACATCCTTCAGCACATTTCATTTTACCTGAAATGACCTTTTCTGGTGTGGCCTCCGGTACAAACAGAATTTAAAAAAAAATTATTTTCTTGCCTTTTTTTGTATCAAGCACAAAGAACATTAACCCCACCAGTGAGTGCAGGTCCCACCTGTGCCGAGGTGCTCATCCACAAGAAATCCAACATCCCAAGAGGATTCATCCGCCGTGCCCAGCCCAGGTTTCCCAGCTGGGATAGCACTGGACCCAAAATCCTGGAAGGCTGGAAGCAAACAGGAGCAGGAGCAGAGCCTCCGTGCTCCATCCAGACAGTGGAACACACTCACTCTTCACCACTCACTCTTCATGGATAAGTAAAAGCACTTTAAGGAGAGGGTTTGGTTTTTTTTCCCCTCCCTTCACTTTGTTTTAAATGGCTGAAGAATTTCCTCTGTGAATGCTCCCAATTGTGGCTCACGCTGAGTTATTTTTAAAAGCACAGAACCAGATTTGCAAGGCCCTGAATGAGGAAATGCAAAGCTTTTATTAAGCAATAATAGCCCAGACAATGGTCACAATTTCCCAAGGGTCTGAACACGGCAGCTGACAATGAGCTTTATTCCTCCACAAAAACCCCTTCACAGGCTCGGAGGGTTTGCTTTGTATGATCCAGGCTCAAGTTAGGGAGTTAAAACAG